AGGCTATCAGTTACAATTTCACACGAAACCCGATCCTTGGCGAACAAAACCTTTACTATTCAATGCACAAGAACAAGCAGCAGTGGACACAGCTGTGGAGACATATCTGAAACAAGGTGTCATAGAACGAAGTCCTTCACAAGACCGTTCTTTCCTATCAAGTCTTTTCACAGTACAAGAACCAACGAAGAGACGACCGATCCTAGACTGCAGGAGATTGAATTCCTACCTGCAAATCCAACATTTCAAGATGGAGGGGATTCCAGCCTTACGGGACCTATTGGAACCCGACGACTTCATGGCGAAGATCGATCTGAAAGACGCTTACACGGTAGTCCCGATAGCAGTGGACTCCCGACAGTATTTAACTTTCCTGAACAACGGGACAGTTTACCAGTATCGGTCCTTACCTTTTGGGGTGAGCATAGCACCGCGAGTATTCTCCAAACTGATGCGTTACGCGGTGGAACCCCTACGAGCGAAAGGGATTCGCTTAGTGTATTATCTGGACGATATATGCGTTTTGGCCAAAACCAAAACGATACTCCAAGACCAGGTGAAGTCGACCATAGATCACCTATCCCATCTGGGATTTATCATCAATCGGGAGAAATCAGAGACCGCAGCGAAAAAGATTCAAGATTTCCTCGGATTCACCTTCAACACGAAGAGCATGCAAATAAGTGCCCCCAAGTCGGCTCCAAGTAGCATCATGGATACAGATTCTGATGACCAGAGTCCTACCTGGTCTGAAATTACCAGGAGAGGGCTGTCAGTCCCACTCCCATCAGCTAAGATGAGAGCTGCTGCTGGTACAAATAGGACTTATGGAACAGTCAAAACGGAAGTCGTATACGAAGTAGATGGATTTACGGCCACCCAAAGATCTCAAAGAGCTGCTGGTATTCTGAAGAGAGCACTGAACCCGGATGCGGTACTGTTTGAAGTTCCTAAGGACGCGCTCATTCCCGACCTGGTAGTAGAAGAGATTATCAAGCAAGTCGGTGATATTGCAGGCTTCACAAACCTGGGTTTGTACCGCAAAGACTCAAAGGTAAATACCTTAGAACTGGTGTTTATATCTCAAGATACCACCAGAAAGGCTATCGAAGAAGGAGTAAAAATCCAGGACATGATCATCCATGGTACCCCTTATGTTGATGAAGCTCGCCGCCCCGTAATCAAGGTGAATCTCAGCCATGTCCCTTTGAAGTGCTACGACACCGTTGGTACCAAACTGCGAAAGGCCCTATCGCCTTTCGGAAAGGTAATGCAGGTACGTAAATACACAAATGAATTTGGCAGATTTTTTGGAGAGGCCTCTGTGCTGTTGGAACGAAACCAAGACTCCAATGAATATGCGGAGCTACCCAGGATGATTTTCTTGGAAGATGAAGACTGTTACGTTCCAGCTTTCTTCCAAGGTGCACCACAGATCTGTTTTCACTGCAGAAGGGCCGGTCATATTCGCAAAGAATGTCAAGAGCTGGCCAAAATCCAGTGCTACAAATGCAAAGGATACGGCCATATGAGCCGTTACTGCCAAAACTCACGTAAAGAGAAAAGCTTTGAAGAGGATATGGAGACATATCAGAAGAAAACAATGGATGTCCCAACTGCAACATCTGGAAACGCTAGGGTAGAAAAAGCTGTCAAGGAGGATACCGTAGAGACAGAACAAGCACAGGATATGATACAAACAAACACGGAGAAATCGCAAGGTAAGGAAGCGGACTTGGTCCTATCACAGGAGGAGGCTTCCGGAATGGACACGGAGAAGTTGCAAGTTACGGAAGCGGACTTGATCCCATCAGAGGAAGAGACTTCCGAAATGGACACGGAAGACAGTACAAGATCAACCAGACGGCAAATGGAAAACGGCACAGGAAGTGCGGGCAAAATCATGGTAATTGAATCAGACGAATCGTCAATGGGTATCAACATGGGAAATGTGGAGACGGAAGTTGCCCCACAAGAGGTTTCTTCAGGCAGTCCCAGCCATAGGAGCACCAAAAAGAAGACAATTACCAGACAAGAGGCTCTGAAAATGTCAGAAACGGTTGTAAAGAGACCTAAAATTGTCAGCCGGATGAAACCCGCCCCAACGCCTGTTCGTGGTAGGATAAAGTCGGCTAGCAGTATAGCGGAAATTAGGAAAGCTCTGCATGAACAGAAATCCAAAGATAATATAAATGAATGAAAAAACAGGAATACGCATCGCCACCATGAACGCTCGTAGCTTTCTTGGAGGCTCAAAACTACACAAAAAACATCTGAAAAAATATTTGATGAGCGCTGATCAGAAAATTGATATAGTCTGCCTACAGGACATATCCGCCGCCCACAACACGCAACTTACAAAAAAAGAAGAAAAGCTACTCAATTTACAATTCAAGGACTGCCCGGCAGTCCATACTAAATATACATCTATAATCAGCCTTAATCCTAGGTACCTGATTGTCAATGAAAGCACTCACCTCCAAGACCGTTGCATTACCGCAACTATTATAGAGGCCAAAACAACAAAAACTATACTTCATTTGATAAACATCTACGCACCACCGCAGGACAACATCCGTCATAGCTTTCTACAAGAACTAACATCACATATTCAAAGTCGATATACCTCAGACGACCACACTATTATATTGGGAGACTTTAATCTCAACATGAACAAACGACTAAGTTCGAAATATGATGATTGGTGTCAAATGATTCATGCTAGATACACAAACAGCGCATTGTACAACAGAATGGAAAAACTGCCAACATTCACCAGAGGCGACTCCCGCACAACAATAGACTACATTTATGTCAGTAACAATCTCCAACAAAACATTACTGGATTCGAAACAAGATTTCTCCCATCCACATGGACAGATCACAGCCTAATGTATATAGACCTTGCGAGCCAAGGAGAGGAGCAGATTGGCCCAGGTACATGGCGTATGAACCCTCAACTAACCATAAATGAAGAGTTCCAACAACTACTTTCAGAAACCTTAACTCAACTCAGTAATCATTTTGACAACCTACCTCATGCTGTTGACAAACAATCCCAATGGGAAACAGTCAAAACAACCATCAAAATTCTAGCTAAACAACAGGGCAAACAGATAGCAAGCCGAGCCAAGAGGAAAGAACAATATCTTCAAAGCCGCAGAAATGAGATCATCCGTCGCATGAAAGAATATCCAACGTCATCAGACCACCTTTGGTCAGAGTTAGAAGAAACAGAATCAGCCATTGCTGACCTACTTGAACGGCAAACCGAAATATTATGCATGCGCTCAGCAGTGAAATGGCATGAACAAGGGGAACGAAGCAACAAATACTTCTATCGCATCCTCAAACACCGTACTCAAGGCCAAACAATTAATCATCTGTACGACGCTGACACTGATGATATATCAAGCACCAAGCCAAGTGAACTACTCAAGATTGCTTCCAAATATTACAAAAAACTGTTCAATCCTGAACCAATCATCTCTGAAGATGTAGAAGAAATGACCAACAGTATTCCGAATGGCATCTGTCTGGAAAACGATCAAAGCAAAGTTCTGATGAAACCTATTCTGATGGATGAACTAGCTGAAACTATATCATCGTCACCAAACAACAAGAGCCCAGGTTTGGATGGACTTCCTTTTGAAATATACGACCTCATCTTGGCACATTCATACACGAAGGAGCTACTGTTAGCTATCATGAATGATGCCCTTTTAGCGAATTTTCCTCAATCATGGCAAAAAACTAAACTGATACTGCTATATAAGAAAGGAGATGCAACCAGACTAGATAATTGGCGCCCTTTATCACTTATTAACTCGGATGCCAAGTTGTTCACCAAGATTATGTGCAACCGTTTGAACAACATATTGCCAAAACTCATCAACCAGTATCAAACTGGATTTATGCCAGGCAGATTGATAGCAAACAATGGCTGGGCGATACAAGCGATTATGGCACATGCAAGAAATGTTGATCCAAATGGAACGGCAGCAGCAGTCCTACTGGACCAGGAGAAGGCCTACGACCGAATCCACCCAGAATATATCAAAAGCGTTTTGATAAAGTTTGGTTTCCCTGAAACCTTTGTCAAAGCTATCTCAGCACTGTTTTTTCAGACCAAAGTCCATGTTGCAATCAACGGATACTTGGCAGCTCCAATACCGCAAGGTCGAGGGCTACGCCAAGGCGATCCGATATCACCATTACTCTTCAATCTTGCCTTTGAACCTCTACTACGGAGACTATTAGCTGAAGTACACCTTCAGGGCTTCGCAATTCAGAAAACGATAACCAGTAGGTTGCCCAAACAACATACAAGCAAGGCATACTTTCCAGAGAGTATACCAATCAAACTTTTGGCATATGCAGATGATTTGTTAGTGATCTTATCGAATCCTCAAGAGTGGCAAACGCTACTTCTACATCTAAAAGCATATAATAACGCCAGCAATGCTAGAGTAAATCTGAAGAAAACAGCATTGTTTAGTCTGGCTGGCAACTTTGTCGAACAGTGGAATGAAATAGCAACAACAACTGGCTGCCAATGGCACGACAACAACGCATCAACCCCATTAATCTATCTTGGTTTTCCTATATTTCATCAACCTGCTCAATTAGACATGTTCCTAGCTGGTATATATCAGAAGATCACGAACTTCGTCAGGATCTTGAACGGACGTAGCCTATCGGTGCAAGGTCGCGCGATTCTAGCAAATTCCATGCTTCTATCGAGATTGTGGTACATCATTCGTGTTACAATTGTACCGAAAAAATGGTTGGCCTTGTGCCAGAAAACCACCAAACAATTTATTTACCCATATGGTTTCAAACCATCCTGGGAAGTGATGTGCAAACCGAAAAGCCAAGGTGGACTGTCTGTGGTCAATATTCAGGCTCAATACCTAACCCTACATTGGGTGTTTATGGTAAATGCACTTACATCAAAGAAGGCCAACTTTGCATCTATCCTGTTGAGATCGATATTTCGCGCTTACACGGAACAAGTCAATTTGGTAGTGCTACCTCTTCTCCCAGATAGGTTCACGAGAGCACTCAGCAAAATGCCTCAAATGGTACACATATGCAAGTTACTGTCCAAACTACCGCAGCTGAAAATTGATGATGGGTGGCCTAGCCATTTTCTGATACAGTTTCCAGCAACTCTTGTGATATACCGTCCTTTGTCAATGCAACTT